CATAATTATGCTCAGATTATTGTAGCTGCTGCTATAAGGGAACGGAAGATGTTTAAGAAACAGAGCAGACAAGAGACAGCCAAGACTCCAAGTGTCTATCGCTTCATCTCGTGGTAGACCAAGAGTTACCTCTGGAGCTCTGTATGCCAAATTCTGAATGATACCCTTCTGTGGTAAACGTTCAGTCTCAAAAGCCAACCCAAAGTCAATCAGCTTCACTCTGAATGGTTGTGCTTTACGATTTACGAACATGATATTATCAAGTTTCACATCTCCATGAGTAATACCAAGCTGTTTTAAAACACTAAGAGCTTCTAAGATCTGCTGGGCAATTGGTCGGATTTCAGCCAGATTTAAACAACAACCTTCATTCTCCAAAAACTCACTCAAATTTGTATCCAAAAGCTCTAATTCCTGATATAAAAAGCCTTGAAAGGCAAAACTGCCATTCATTCGGATAAAATAGCTATCGCATTGTGTGAGCTCATTCAGACTTTCTAATATTTTCGTCTCATTGAAAAAAAAGCCGTAATCGCTTTCACGTGTCATTTTCAACGCTACGACCTCATTTGTTTCCTGTACACGGCACCTGGCCACCGCTCCGTATGTCCCAGATCCAAGTACTTTTTCTATAATATAAACCTTTGAAAGGCCTTCAATCTTCATACCTGGGATTAGTAATAAAGATAAGTCTTCTGAGTCAGTTGAGTTTGTCTCATCTGTGTCTGAGGACGATGTTTCCCAATCTATAGATTGGTCCGGTAAAAGATGATCCATATGCAGTTCCTCTGTGTTTACTGTGCTGGTTTTCTCTAATAACTGTTTGCTACACACTGGCTCTTCATCCTTCTCTCTGGTGTCAATAGAAGTTTTCTCTGTAACGTTTCCTTCTTTGCATTCTTCTGAATTAAACTCTACTATTTCTTCTGAACTAAATTTTGTACTGCATCTCGATTCTGCCCTTGGTGAAGATCTATCTACGTCTGTTTGAACACCTGGCACCTGACTGGGCCCGGGGCGTTCGCTGATTACACTTTTACCATCTGAAGGACACGGTTGGACATTTCTCATTAATTTACGAGCTTTTTTCACATAACGTCTGTCTGAATCGCCGTCGAGATGCTCCATCGTGATGAAAGGGTGTTTTAGAGCATCAGCTGGCAGAATCCGGTTTGATGGATCCACTGTTAACATTTTCTTCACGAGGTCAAGAAAAGCTGCGATATCTTCATTTTCAGTTGAGTTGTTAGTGGTGTGAGAGAAAAACAAGTCCTCCAGCGTTGTTAAATCATCATAGGCTGCGTCTGCCCTCTCAGACACTGCTCCTGTCTTCTTTTCGTATTGTTTCAGGGTTTTAAATCTCCATTCAGACCCGTTCGTATCTTTTCTGAAATAGTTTGAGACTAGAGTCCCCTCGTCCAGTAGTTTTTTGTCAGGTTGACCAAGGAGCTTCATAAAAATTCTCAGATTATCGTATTCGTTTTCTTCTGGGAACAGATAACAGTCCAGAAACAGAGCAGACAAGAGACAGCCAAGACTCCAAGTGTCTATCGCTTCATCTCGTGGTAGACCAAGAGTTACCTCTGGAGCTCTGTATGCCAAATTCTGAATGGTGACCTCCTGTGGTAAATGTTCAGTCTCAAAAGCCAACCTAAAATCGACCAGCTTCACTCTGAATGGTTGTGCTTCATGATTTACAAGCATGATATTATCAAGTTTCACATCTGCATGAGTAATACCAAGCTGTTTTAAAACACTAAGAGCTTCTAAGATCTGCTGGGCAATTGGTCGGATTTCAGCCACCGTTAAACAACCTTCATGCTCCAAAAACTTCCTCAAATCTGAATCCAAAAGCTCTAATTCCTGACATAAAAAGCCTTGAAAGGCAAAACTGTCGTTCAATCTGATAAAATAGCTATCGCATTGTGTGAGCTCGTTCAGACTTTCTAATATTTTCATCTCTTTGAAAAAACTGTCGTAATCGCTTTCAGGTGCTATTTTCAACGCTACGACCTCATTTGTTTCCTGTACACGGCACCTGGCCAGCGCTCCGTATGTCCCATATCCAAGTACTTCTTCTACAATATAAACATTTGAAAGGCTTTCAATCATCATACCAGGGATTAGTTTTGTAGATACGTTTTCTGAGTCAGTTGAGTTTGTCTCATCTGTGTCTGAGGACGATGTTTCCCAATCTATAGATTGGTCCGGTGAAAGATGATCCATATGCAGTTCCTCTGTGTTTACTGTGCTGGTTTTCTCTAATAACTGTTTGCTACACACTGGCTCTTCATCCTTCTCTCTGGTGTCAATAGAAGTTTTCTCTGTAGCGTTTCCTCCTTTGCATTCTTCTAAATTAAACTCTACTATTTCGTCTGAACTAAATTTTGTACTGCATGTTGATTCTGCCCTTGGTGAAGATCTATCTACGTCTGTTTGAACACCTGGCACCCGACTGGGCCCGGGGCATTCGCTTTCACTTTCATCATCTGAAGGACACGGTTGGACATTTCTCATTAATTTACGAGCTTTTTTCACATAACGTCTATCTGAAGCGCCGTCGAGATGCTCCATCGTGATGAAAGGGTGTTTTAGAGCATCAGCTGGCAGAATCCGGTTTGATGGATCCACTGTTAACATTTTCTTCACGAGGTCAAGAAAAGCTGCGATATCTTCATTTTCAGTTGAGTTGTTAGTGGTGTGAGAGAAAAACAAGTCCTCCAGCGTTGTTAAATCATCATAGGCTGCGTCTGCCCTCTCAGACACCGCTCCGGTCTCCTCGTATTGTTTCAGGGTTTTAAATCTCCATTCAGACCCGTTCGTATCTTTTCTGAAATAGTTTGAGACTAGAGTCCCCTCGTCCAGTAGTTTTTTGTCAGGTTGACCAAGGAGCTTCATAATCATTCTCAGATTATCGTATTCGTTTTCTTCTGGGAACAGATAAGAGTCCAGAAACAGAGCAGAAAAGAGACAGCCAACACTCCAAGTGTCTATCGCTTCATCTCGTGGTAGACCAAGAGTTACCTCTGGAGCTCTGTATGCCAAATTCTGAATGATACCCTTCTGTGGTAAACGTTCAGTCTCAAAAGCCAACCCAAAGTCAATCAGCTTCACTCTGAATGGTTCTACTTCATGATTTATGAACATGATATTATCAATTTTTATATCTGTGTGAGTAATGCCAAGCTGTTTCAAAGCACTAAGAGCTTCTAAGATCTGCTGGGCGATCGCTCTGATTGCAGCCACCTTTAAAGTGTCACGTCTTTTTCTGAAATAATCGAACAAAGTCTGATCCAAAAGCTCGAATTCCTGATATAAAAAGCCTCGATAGGCGAAACTGTCATTCAATTTGACAAAGCAGTGTTTGAAATTTGACCGTTTGTTCAGAAGTTGTAACGTTTGAATTTCATTTAAAAATTCGCTTTCATACTCTCTACTCGTTACTTTCAAAGCGACCACCTTATCTTCTCCCTCTATGCAGCACCTGGCCACCTCTCCAAACGTCCCAGAACCAAGAACTTCCTCTACATCGTAAATCTTTGAATTCCCAGTGATTACCATACCTGGCATTAATATTGAAGGGGAGCTATGTGAGTCGGTTGAGTACGACCTTTCGCCTGTGTCTGACGAATCCGTTTCCCAACTGATAGACGGGTCCATCTTTGAGTCCTCTGAACTAGCTCCTTCAGAGCTTTCACTGCTAGACAACGGATGGAATTTCACACGATTAGGTGAACTCTTCCTGGGGTCAGGGTGTGGCGTGTTTTTCTTTGCAGCTTTTGTTTCACTGCTACTGGTTCCTGTTCTGGTTTTGGTCCGGACTAAATGTGAGGAATTTCTCTTTCCCTTCTTACTAAAATCCAGGTCTGGGGTCTGCTCTCCGTTGCTGTTCGGAGTGGAAAGAGGACTTAAAGTGTTTTCTTGTTCGCTGTGTTGGAATTCCTCCATAATCCTTTGGGATTCTGTTAAATAAAACTCATCTGAGATACAACGTAGATGCTTCATTGTTATAAATGGGTGTTTTAAAGCATCCGCTGGTTTGATCCTAAGTGCCGGGTCCACGTTTAACATCTTCCTGAGAAGGTCGATGAAAGCCTCTGTGTCCTCATGAGCTACTGGCTCTAGTTGGTTGGATTTAAACAGAAAGTCACTCGAATCAGTTAAATTATTGCAATCTGTTTTCTTAACCTCACTTCCGGTTATTTCTTCAAATTCCTTCGGGGTCCGGAGTCTCCAAACGTAATCAGACCCCTGCTTCACTCGTTTAAAAAACCGACGACTTTGACATCCTTTTTCCAGTAGTTTGCTTTTTGGCTGGCCCAAGACATCTACGATAAACCTCATGTACTGATACTCGCAGTCCACGGGGCTCATGTGTTGCCCTAAGAACAGAAAAGCTAACGTACACCCGAGGCTCCAGACATCAAGGCTTTCGTCTAGTGGACAGTCCAGGTACACCTCTGGTGCGGTGTAACCACAATCTAATGGGATCTTTGAGTCACGTAAGTCGGATGTCGTTGCAGAGTTGGAAAAACCAATCAGTTTGACACCACACTGATATGGAACTTCATCCATATTCATTATATTTTCTGGCTTTATATTAGCGTGAGTGAATCCAGCGTGGTGCAGAGCTGCTAAAGCAACGAACATTTGATATGCAATAGCTCTGATCTCAATAAGGTGAACAGGTCTCCCATTTGCTGCTAAAACTAATTCCTGAAAGGTTGAATCCAGCTTCTCATAGGCAAAGCAGGTCCTGTCTTGGTACGAAAAACACTCAGAAAAGTTGACAATGTGGCGTTGGTGGAGACCTAAACTTTTCAGTTGCTTCAGTATCCTCACCTCTCTCCTATTTTGGGAATAAAACTTCTTTTTGACAAATTTTATTGCCAAAATTTCACCTGTTCTCTCATTTCGGCACTCAGCAATCTGGCTGAACTTCCTGTAATGTGTTACTTTTTGGATTTGGTAAACATTGAATCTGCTTGCAACAGACATACCTTCCTCAATTCTGAAAGTAGAATCATCCAAACATTCCTGTGTGGATTTTGCCATTTCACTTCTTCTTGCGGGAGTCCAAAAACAAGCTTCTCTCTTCTAGACAAAGTGAGTGACGTGCTCTCGGGTCCGAGGTCTATAGGTTCTGAGCTTTGCTGACGTCAGAAACGCTCCTTTTATAGGCGGCGCTGAGCGTGCGCGGGAGTCACGTGGTACGTGAGCGGCGTCGTTCCTTTATGTTACGTGCGCGTGCACGCTGACGCTGACCCCGGAGACGTCAATGGGCTGCAGCAGGAGTGTTTCCATGGTTACCATATGAACGACCCGGAGGTTCGAAATGAAACTATGACGTGCGGCTGACTTTTTTCTTTTTTTATCAAAGGCACGCAGGACCGAAGCGTCACCGACCGTTAACCACCGTTAATCGGGGCGCTGGTGTGTAAATAAAAACCAGTCTCGCCTCATGATCGGTGGTGAGAGCAGGAGGCAGCAACTGGTTTTAATGGCTTCACAATGCAACGTTTACTGAATTAAAAGCTCTAAAATTGATGTGGTGAACCAGACAATGACCGGAAATTCACCTTAATCATTTCATTCAGGTGGACTGAGCCTGTTGATCCGTTTTCTTGGAAGAATCATTTGGCTATAGATAACTAAAAATACAGCCATTACTAGTTAAGCATCCTCGTTAGCTGGTTTAAAGTTATTCCTAGATCAAAGTTTAAAGGTTTGGTGCAACAGGCTTAGCTTTAAGCTTGGTTTAGTGTGAAAATTAACAGTTTAAAAGAGAGATTAAAATGTAATCCCTCTTAAATTGTAATAATTTAGTGAAATTTAAAGTTTAGAGCAATATGATTTTAATTGAAACCATTAATTAATTTGAATTTAAATTTAAAGCAATTAAAACATATTAATTATGACCAATAATAATTTACACAACTCACCAAAACAAACATGCACAAACACCTAAAAATAGGACAAACTAACTCAAACATGACTACCCGCTATAGAGCTCCGGACGTCACGTGACTCTCAGAGAGTAGACGCCATGTTGGCAGGCAACAAAGGTAAACAAAATGAACGGGATCGGCTTGGATTTTACTTCGTCGGAGTTTACTTCACACTTTAAAACCAAAGAAATCGTTTTATATAGTCAGAAATTAAATAGACTAAACATCTCCGACCCTTACCGTGCCCCTGGGATACTTTTTAAAAATGCCAGAAGCTGGACTTCTTACTGGACCTGGCCGGGGAACACCTTGGGATTTACCCGGAGGAGCTGGCCCAGGTGGCTGGGGAGAGGGAAGTTTGGGCCTCTCGACTTAGGCTACTGCCCCCGCGACCCGACTCCGGATAAGCAGATGAAAATGGATGGATGGATGGATGGATGGATGGATGGATGGATGGATGGATGGATGGACAAATAACATAGATTCACATGTAAGTAGTTTAAATAGAGTGCTGTGCTGTTTGAATGTATAAACTGAACGCCAAGAGAAATCACTAGTCTGATTTTTTTCCATGAATAAAATAAATATGTCAGGCAGGAGCGTCTCAGGATCTGTCTGAGATCTGTCTCGGTGAGACAGATGATAGCAATCCAAAGTGCTTTTTATGTGTGATCTGACAAATGATCAACCATTGCTTAACAGTTAAATACAGCTTAGCCGGTTAATTGCTGTGATCATAAAACACGTAAACGGCAGCACGCAGAACTCACGAGGCAACGTTTTACGTGATGTTTACTTGTTGCTATGAGTAATAAGACAGAAAAAGCCACGCCAAAATAAGTTTAGGAAGCCCACTAAGAATCGTAATAAAAGCATTTAAAATAAATACCATACACAGTTGAGGAAACGTTGGTTTAAGTACCTGATATGAAGCGGTCGCTGCATAAGTGAAAACCTTTACTCTCGAGATCCCACAGTTTCATTTTAGCCTGGTCACTAGCGCGTTTTTTTACAACGATCCAACGTTTGCGGCGCTCCGGATCTTGGGGAATCCTGTAGACGACTCATTCCTTATGTCGTCCGTGTCTGTTCTGCATCCTGGGGCACAACAGGAATCTACCATATTTCCTGTTTGATTGAGTTTTCTGACAATAACAAATAGTCCAGCTGCCGGCTTCTGCCTGCCAATATGGTGCCGTTTCGATTTGAACTGATGCATGCCGGGAGAAGTGACGTCAACTCCCGGGACAACTGTACCCAACCCAATTCCCCCCCACCCACCCACCACCACCACACACACACACACTCCATGGCCTACAAGGACCATCCATAATCCAGCTGGGTTTTAAACAAATGATGTCCAAAGAGGTCCAACAAGTTCTTTGCTCATTTACATTTTGCTTGTAAGGATAAATGATGATGAACTTTAATGATCCTGATGGAAAATGGCAGCTGCTCCAGCACGTGCAGGAGATTTAGGCCCAATCTCAATATTCTCACTTGCCCCCTTCACTTGCGCGTTCCCGGCCAAGGGTGCGAGTGCGTAGGGTGTCCCGAATCTCAAGTGCAGAAGTTGGCCACACCCCCATTGCACCCTTAATCTGCACTTAACCCAAGTCCGCAGTGATTCGGACCTCGAGCAAGGGGATTAACCACAAGTCATTGCTGCAGGAGAAAAGGCTCAAGTTTATTTTCTGAAAATGTGTATTTTCTAATGAAGTCAGTTAATTTTAGGACAATCAGTTAATGCTCTAAAACTTTTAGACAAAGCAGCAATAAATGTAAATTTATTTCCAACAACTGCTTGGCTGTTTGTTTAAAAGTTGTTAATAAAGGTTTTTGAAAAGAGTATCACAGTGACCAGCATCCCGGCATGCGTTGCGATCGATGATGCAATGGTCCTGTCTCAGTTCTGCAGTTATGTGCACACTTGTGCACTACGCACTCAAACCCTACTATGCACTTTCTCCAAGTGCACTTTGCTGAGGTCCGCAGGGCGAGTATTGAGATTGGGCTTTAAAAGCCTGATGGCTGCAGACATGGAGGATTTGCTGATCTCCCCGTCCTGCACTGAGCAGCCACGTACACCCGTGTGTTTTTGGTCCTTGAAGGTGTTCGAGGTGGTGGATGTAAGGATGTGCTTAGCAAAACAAAAAAGGTAACATTACATGTGTAATGGAACACCAGCAGTTCTGTTTTAGTTAGACGGAACAATATAACCGTTTGGTGTATTTTATATTTATGTTGCTGTAATAAAATTGTGATTTTTAAATTTCAAACTTCTAATTAAATTTTACACATCTGGCATGTTGTAGTTTTTCACGACTGTTTCACACATTTCCTTGTACGTCTGACACAATACAACATGTAACTGATGCACCGACTCCTCTAACCAGGCCTGCCGAACTGCAAGCACAACCTGCTTTACACATGACTCATCGAAAGGGAAAACACTTGTTACACACAGGGGCGCCTCCAGAAATGTTTGATAGGGGTGGCCAGATGGGGCCAAAGACATTTTTGGGGTGGCACACCAAATTGGTCCTTTGGTAACTCTGGGAGAGTTTAGCCTGTGGTGAAATATTGCATTGCTCCTTTATTCGTTTTTATTTTAAAATCAGTACGTATCCAAAACATTTAACTTCAATTTTACAAACACAAATATTTCAGAAAAATACATTTGTTATTTGCGCCCTTGGTAACACGTAATCAAGAGCAACAGTTTCCAACCACTGGTGACCCTTCCTGGATGTCCCACAGACACACTCCTTCCACCAGATCAGATCGATGGCCCAGAGCAGCTCAGGTTTCTTGTCATCTGGGAGAGCATCCGTTCCCTGATCGCTCTGGTTTGCCACTGGTTCACTGCCCACCCATGCCTTATTGTTGTTTATGTCCATCCTCTCCATTCCTCAAGAATTTTTTTCTGCGTGGAGATGGAAAGGGTATGACCCAAGTCCACACACAGATATACCCCTGCTCTAAGCTATGGAAGATGCTCGGCTGGATTTGCCGTGCCGTGCACCGTGTGTTCAGGCTAACAGTAAGTCATTCAATGGCGGGAGAATAAGTGGTCATAATGTTTTAACAGATCAGTGTTCAGCTGGTTTTTATGTTTGTTTTGTGTGTGTGTGTGTGTGTGTGTGTGTGTGTGTGTGTGTGTGTGTGTGTGTGTGTGTAGTTCCTGCAGTTGCAGTTAAACACCCGTCCCCTAGAGGGCGCTGCTGTCCCAGAAACAGAGGAAGCGTGAGCCTGCGAGAAGCCACCAGTAGGAGGCAGCAGAGAGGCGGACCAACCTGCTCAGGGGGAGAAGAAGAAGATCTTCTCTGTTGTTTTGTTCCTCAGACCTCCTGTTGTCTGCTACGTTTTTAGTTCGTGTCGCGGTTCGGCTCCGCGCACCCTGCGGTGATCCGGGACAGGTAAAGGCAGAGGTCTGTGTGTGAAAAGTTCTGCTTTCATTTCTAAACACTACATTGTGAGACGAGAATCGGAAGTGATGGTAAGAAGAGCCAGCACCAGCTGACGTCTGGGCGCGTGCTGCCGGGCGCGCGTGCTGCTGGGAACAGGTCACGTTCACGGACCTGACCGAGGCCATGGGTGCTGCTGGTCTTTCGGTAACACTGATGTTGTTGGGCTGGCAGCGGCTTCATGAACGAAGCCTTTCAAACAGCTGTTATTACAGTAGTAATAACCTAACAGCTGGAGCGTGACGCGTAAGCATTTAGTGTGAACACAGTCCGTTTACGTGTTTGTTTCTCAGGTCCTGCGGCAGCGCAGCCTTTAAAGGTGTAAAAGCAACAACAGAGAGATGATCACCAAACAGTCCATCATGCTGGGGTTTCAGCTGTTCTCCTCTCTGAACGGCCAAAGAGGGTCTTAGGGTGTTTCTCAATGTCAAGGAACCCCACAGAGGTGTGGACTCGAGTCACATGACTTGGACTCGAGCCGTTATTTTAATGACTTCTGACTTGATAAAATCTATAAAGACTTACAACTTGACTCGGACTTGAACGCCAGTGACTTGCGACTTGATTCGACTTGCACGTGTTGACTTGATGACTTGAGCATATTTGATATTTTAGCACCAAAGTGTCACGACATGGACAACAATCATGAATCATTCTTCATCCTGGGTTTGATCTTTATAAACAGTTTCAGTTACACGTTCTGCTGTTTGAGCAAATAAAAGACGCTTTATTTCTGGATTTTATTTATCATCATTGTCATTAATTTGAAGTTGGACAGATGACTTGAAAATTCAAAGTTAAGGACTTGGACTTGGTTGTCTTTGACTTGGACTTGACTCGAGACATGACTGGAAAGACTTGTGACTTACTTGTGGGCAGAGAATCATAGGGCAGCAGTAGCTCAACAGGTTGAGCGGGTAGTCCAGTAATCAAGGTTGCAGGTTCGATTCCAGCTCCGGACAGAGAACTCTGCTGTTGTGTCCTTGGGCAAGACACTTAACCCACGTTGCCTGCTGGTGGTGGTCGGAGGGACCGGTGGTGCCTGTGCTCGGCAGCCTTGCCTCTGTCAGTGCGCCCCAGGGCAGCTGTGGCTACATCGTAGCTCATCACCATCAGTGTGTGAATGTGTGTGTGAATGGGTGAATGATAGTGTAAAGCGCTTTGGAGTCCTTCCTCTGAGAGGCGCTATACAAGTGCGGGTCATTTATCATTTGTGACTTGCAAAGCAGCGACTTGGTCACACCTCTGGAACCTCCCCACCCCAGTTGCCTAGGAGATACGTCATCAGGGACCACCATGGCGTGGTCCAGTGTTCATGTTCTACTGAGGCATGTGCTCTCCGTTTGTTAACCGTTTATGGCGTTACTGCATGTATGGATGACGTGAAGGGCTGGCTGGCATCCAACTTCTTAAAACTGAATGAAAAGAAGTCTGAGTTTATTGTTTTTGACCCCCGCAACTGCCATGGCTCTCACCCTGTTTGTGACCTTTTAACCCTTAACCCCAAACAGTGTGCGACGAGTCTCGGGGTCAAGCTGGATGCTGGACTCACAATGGCCCCACAGATAAACTCTGTAGTGAGGTCTTGTTTTTATCAGCTTCGCCGCCTTACTCACCTCAGACGAATCCTGAAACGGAGGCATTTGGAGTCAGTCATTCATGCATTCATTACCTCTCGCCTGGACTATGCAAACGCCCTCCTCGTTGGTGTTCCGGACTCTGCCCTGAATCGGCTGCAGGTTGTTCAGAACGCTGCTGCCAGGTTCTTGACGGGTACACACCGACGTAGCCACATTACCCCTGTCCTGGCACGTCTTCACTGGCTCCCTGTCATTTTCAGAGTGCAGTTTAAGTTACTGACTTTTGTTTTTAAAGCACTCAAAGACCTGGCACCTTCCTACCTCTGCCCTTCTCACTCCATATGTGCCCACCCGCTCGTTGAGGTCGGCTGACCTTTTGCTGCTGTACACGCCGCGGATGAGACTCAAATCGCGGGGTGAACGAGCATTTGTCCATGCTGCCCCAAAGCTATGGAACTCATTGCCCATTAGAGTTCGTCGGGCTCCGTCTCTGGCGGTTTTTAAATCTCGTTTAAAGACCCACTTTTACACTTGGCTTTTAGACAGTGACTCGTTTTAGTGTTTTATTGTGTCATTGTTTTAATGTGTTCTTATTATTCATGTTTTATCTGCTTTTAATTGAGATTTTTATCCTTTGTTTTAGCTCCTTGTAATGGGTGAGTTTTGTTTTAGCCTGTGCAGCACTTTGGGCAGCTCCCATGCTGCATTTTAAATGTGCTATATAAATAAACTATGCTATGCTATGCTTACACGTTAGCGTCGGTTCGGTCCCTTACGGCCCCAGAAATTGTTTTCACACAGGTCAGATTTGTGTTTTTGGTTCTTTCCGACCTCCCCAGCGGTCAGACTGGGACCGAGGTGACACTATGGACTAATTGGCGAGCTGAAATTACACCTACCCCCTCCGACCTGCGATGAGCAGCCGGGGAACAGAACAATGCTTGTTGGCGTCATTGTGCATTATGGACGAATCCGGGCAGCACTAGTTTCCTCATCTGTATTTACTCGGCCAGTGCAGGAAGTGGGGTAGAAGACGATCTTCATGTTCAGCTTTCATGCTAAACCCTGGGGCGCACTGACAGAGGCGTGGCCTATGTCAAACAGGCGCCACCGGACCCTCTGACCACCACCAGCAGGCAAGGGGGGTTAAGTGTCTTGCCCAAGGACACAGCGACAGACTGAGCGGGGCTCGAACCTGCAACCTTCCGATTACATGGAGAGCAATTAGCTCCTGTGCCACCGTCCGCAGACAGCCACGCTCGGGAACCATTTGGTGGTTTACACACTAGCATCGGCTCCGCCCCCGCCTGGCCGCACTCATGCCACACTGGCTTAGGAATGCGGACGGGATTCAGAACATGGGTGTTCGATAAAATTAGTGTGAAAAATAGATATCAGTGATGTCGTGTGCACGTGGGCGGGGCAAAAGAACGCAGAGAAGTCCGTGGTATAAAACTAAAGCGGCCTGCCTTTGGAGACTCCGACACTAATCCTGCGTTGCTGTGTGTGGCCACGGCACCTCGGGAGGAGGACCGGCAGAACGTCCGGTTGCAGGCGGGAAAGTCCAAGGTTACTAAATGAGAACACTCCCAACCCGGTGCAGGCGGAGTGGAGCTGATGCTGGTGTGTAAATGGCAGATGTTTACCCCACTGCATCCATTTGTGAACCCGACTGAAGGATGCTCGTCTCACGTTGCTGCAGGACCTCTGCTCTCCAGCAGGTGGCAGTGGGAGGAAGGATGACCTCAAAGTCCGTGTGCCTCCCTCCCCTCTGCAGGAGCACGATGATATAAAAAAAAGTAAGCATTTTCTGTTCTGAGTTATTTGCACTGGTGTGTATTTCTTAGGTTTGTTACCATGACGACCAAACACAGACCGATCACCAATTCCTTCAAGGTGGTGAAGAAAACGCGGAGAGGAGGAAAACAGAACAAGAGCCCCACACCTCCTCCTGCTCCTTCTCCTCCTCCTGAGAGAGGTGAGGATGAGCAACATGGGGTGTGTGTGTGTGTGTGTGTGTGTGTGTGTGTGTGTGTGTGTGTGTGTGTGTGTGTGTGTGTTAGGATAAAAGATTTGGGAAGCTCTCAGTGATTGAAAGAAAGATGATTTATTAGGTAACAAACACTAAGAAAGTGTCCCGTGCCCCCCCCCCCCACCCCCCACCCCCCACCACACCACCAGGAGACGACGTGTTTAAGACCACCAGGGAAGAGGAATTACAGAAACTGAGACAGTTTGACCTGGACTGGAGGTTCGGGCCCTGCACAGGTGAGTCACACACCTGGCTTTGTCATAAAAGCCATAGCTAGTTGGTGACTTCTGCTTCTGAGGGCCTGTTTCGTACTATTTGAAACCTGTCAGAGCAATGGGCCCCCATGGAGACGTCAGTTGTTCAGAAACAAGTTTTTATCTTGAGACGTCTCGTTAATCCAAAAGTAAGACCCTGGGATTTGATCCAATCCGGCCCCCATCAGTGTGAACTCCGCCCATTTCATGATGTAACCCTAGATCAAGCATCATGGAGCATGAAGAGAAACAAACGGCCCATTCCACGATTGCAGAGTGACCCCCCAGATGAGCTGTTAGTGAACCGTTAACTAGCTCACACCACTCCCAGCTGGGATGAATTACTGCCCCAGTCCGTCCCTGATTCTCACCCACCTAGCGTTCAGCTAGCCGTTAGCATTTTGGTTGTGCTCCATGCCCTGGCCTCCATCGGGTGGTTAATCCGTCTGAAAAGCCAGTCCAGCAGTGGTGGAGGTTTAACACGCTCACGTTCTGGCTCGGGTTCTGAGCGCTGCTGAAGATAAAATCCAGCCTTTTCTGCTTCTTCGGGAGGACCAGACTAGGTCCTGTTCCTCTTGCAGACAAAAATCCATTTTTGGGTTCTGGGCTTTATTTAAAGAGCAGACACTAAATAAGAAATAAATCACTTCTTCGCATCTGTGGAGATTAAACTTCCTGTTTATTTTAGACTGAATTCTCCCAGAATTGGAGAACAGAATTCAATAAAACAGGCATCGGAATATAAATTCTGCCTGTTTTAGGTCTTCTTCCTGAAGAATAAGCAGTCAAAAGGAAATCTAAATATGTTCTATATCTGAAATTTTAACCAGCTTTCAAAGAAATAAAAATCACAACAGACATCATCAGTGCTCAGAAAGAACAGACATTTCATTTCTTCATATCCTCTGTTGTCGCTGTAGCAATTAGTTTCTGCTCGGTGAGTCCCGGTGTGAAGGCGTTAGCTTCCATCCTTCTGCATCGTTTCTGGAAAATTCTTGATTTTCTGAAGTAGTTGAAGTTTTTTCAGATTCACCTGTCTGCTACGGCTGTTTAGCTGGTACACTTGGGTCTGACCACATCCACCTAATTACCACTAAATGCTTTTATTTTATTCGTTTTGTTCTTACCTGTCACCATTTATCATTTTCTATTGTACTGGACTAAAAATGGACCAGCGGCTGGCAGGAAGCTGGACCGGGAGCTGATAGGGGGCCGACAGGGGGCTGGACCAGAGGCTGATAGGGGGCCGACAGGGGGCTGGACCAGAGGCTGGCAGGGAGCTGGCCCGGGAGCTGATAGGGGGCCGACAGGGGGCTGACAGGGAACTGAACCGGGGGACGACAGGGGGCAGGACCAGGGCAGGAATGAGGGCTGACAGGGGGCAGGACCAGGGCAGGAATGAGGGCTGACAGGGGGCAGGACCAGGGCAGGACCAGAGGCTGACAGGGAGCTGGACCGGGGGACAACGGACAAGAAGAAGGTTTAGTTTAATAATGAAACAAAGAAGGAACAGCCCTGACTGATGTAATGGTTCTGAGTTGTGAAGACAGGAGTTTAAATCTGTAAAGTAAAGCTGCTTCTTTGAGCTGTGGCTAACTCTCTGAGGATTCCTGTCTTCCCCTTCGGTTCTAGGTATCAGCAGGCTGCAGAGGTGGGACAGAGCACAGCTTCATGGTCTGGAGCCACCTGAGGAGATCAGATACCTGCTGCTGCAAACACACACTGACGCTGAATACAGACGGAGGTAACACACACACACACACACACACACACACACACACACACTGCAGCTGTTCTACTAATTCCAGCTGCTGTATTCGATTAACCCTTCAGCTGTTCCCATGTGTCGTTTCCTCTCATCGGTGTGTTTTTGTCTTGCAGCCTGTGGAGGGACTACCCTTTCTGAAGGAGAGGAGCGGCCTCCTGGGAAATTCATCTTTTAATATATTGACAATTTTTGTAACCATGTTTTCTGCCTTTGTTCTGCCGTCTGTGAAAACATTTTATTATAATCAGTAAACAACTGCCACCGAGTCTCAGTATTATGTGTGATGGCCGCTTTCAGACGTGAAATCCCTCGCCCTGTTGGCGTTTTTAAACCTGACATGGGTCACCTACACGACCAAAGGTGTTGTGTTTCTGCATGACAGCGAGGGTTTCACAGATTAACCAGTTTGGCTGTTAAACACGGGATGAAATATTGCACAAGAGGCCAACAGTGCAATACATGAATAAATCTGTTGGAACCGGTGACGCGCGACCACCCATACTAACGCAGCTCTTCCTCCAGTCGAGGGGCTCGTCTCCGCTCCGCTCCGAGAGCCCCATCGGTCAAGTCAGATTTGGTGCGATTCATTATTTGGGCGGAGAGCTGAGCTCTGGTGGAGAAACGCAATAAGAGGAGATGATGACGCGCCTCGCACCAGGCTGACTGCAGACTACATGCAACTTGTAGAAAATTACGAGGAAGCTTTTGTTTGCCTTTGGAGTTGGATGGTCTTTCTAAGGACATGATCAAAGTCAAAATGTCCTCAAAGGACACGTAGTGGGAGGGTTAGTTAGCTGGTTGGTCGACGATGCCCAGGCATCATTAAATCCTCATGCCGCCCACAGCCTTCTGCTGGTCGTGTCACCAGCAGATTTAAAATAAACATCCAACATTTTGTTGGAAGTTTAGGATTCTTTTCAGCAGCAGAGCTTTGTGCTCCATCACATTCCTGAAATGAGTCCATTGGCTTCACACAAATCAATGACATTGATCTTGTTTCATTGATAACTGATTTAGTTGAACTTGTTTAAATCGTTCATTTAAAAACAATAATTTAAATATAATTTAAGCAACCTTTTTAAAAGTCCTTAGAATGCAGGAGATGACATCCCCAGACCGACCTCCCCAGGTCCTCCCTCTGTCCGTCTGCCTCCTCAGAGCTGAGGACGTGTGGCTAAATGTCCCATCCTTGTCCACAGCTCAGGAAGAACAGAAACTTGTTAGAAGGTGAATCAAGGCTTTAATACTCTTTGAAACAAGGACCCCAACTTGATATAGAATCAGGTGTGTTTGAGCAGGGACACGTAGAAAACATGCAGACACTGTGGCCTTCGCTGTCTGATTTGCTCTAATGGCTGGTGTGAGCATGTTTAGATACTTCATGATGCGTTCATCCTGACCATTAACTCTGCTGGATTTCTTTCCTCCACATAGTGCACCTGGTTGATGCTTTTAAATGTAAAATGTCCAAAATGATGGCTATTTGTACTGGGGGGGGGGGGGGGGGGGGGGGGGAGGTGCTCTCACCTTTGACCTGTTTTCATGTCTGCAGTTTAGAGGATGGTTGGAACAAAGCTGCATTAGCATTTTGGGTATTACAGTTTGGATTAGATTAATGGTGATGAGCTACATCCTAGCCACAGCTGGAGGCGAGGCTGCTGTACACAGTCACCACCCGACCCCCTACCTCCCACTGAAGGAGGAGAAATGCAAGGGAGAGTGTAAAAGAGGTGAAGAAGCACGTTCAGCCGTGTTGGAATGGATGGAGAAGCTACAGAAGAACGTTTGTGTGGAACGTTCTGGACAGCGTTCGTCATTGTTTTGGATTGTTGCAGTGACAAACTGCAAATCGATTTTTTGCTCTTACAACTCATAAGAACGTGACATTGTGAAAGGTTCCGTGTTTTTAATTCACTATTAAATAAGTTCAGTCATCGACAGCCTTAATTATCATTTATATGATTATAATTAGCTGGAATTGAGCTCCAGAAGGTTGTCCTCTAATCTGGACGCTGATTGGTTCTCCTGCCTTTCGTTTAGTGAGCGAGTGCAGACGCACCGGCCTCTGATTGGCTCGCACTGAACAAGGACTGGCCTTAATCTGATGCTACACGCTGATTCGTTACAGCTAGACGCGACCTGATTCCAGGCCTCTCATTGGCTCATTATTGTCCCCCACCCTCAGACCCGTTAATCACGGTGTAACGTTAAATCAGGGGTGGTGAGCACGCGCATGTGTCGATGATACAACATAATCTGGCTTTTAACTTGTAACTTTATAAAGAGTTCGTCAAAATGTTTTCATGTTATTTTCGATATAGATGTATTAAAGCGACGTAGAAAGGGGGTTTGGGACCCTTTTGATTTGTACGGCTGACCGGAAGTGGAATAGTTTGAACCGGAAGTTGGTTTTTCTGGATGCAGGAGGCTTAGTGCAGACAGGAATGACATTTTACTGCGTAAATAAACATTCAGAGACACATTTGCCTCTAAGCAGCCCAGGGGATTTTTAGAAATCACCGTTTTTTTTGTACATTTCTTTCGCTGGAGTCCAGTTTGTGAGGATTTATCAGCTCCAAACGGCGGTCGCGGTGGATTTTTCCTCTATTTGGGAATTTATTTATTTGTCAACATTATTTATTGTTTGTTTGTAAGATTTCAGTGTGAAACATGATGATTTGACATTCCCCGCGTTTGGATGACACACGGACCGCTCCGGTAAGCTCCTGGTTCTCCGGAGGATTAACGTTAGCTCTTTAGCATCCCGGTCCTCACCGAGCTAACGGCTAGCCTGGGGCTCGGTACCTCCGAGCTGGAGACGAGTTTGCGGAGGTTTACTGTCCTCTTCAGTCCCAGATGCGGAGGGTTAGTCTCCTACGTTATGATTAGGATGCAGCAGCGATAGCTCTAGGGTTCTGCTGGGTCCACAGGTGGTCCAGCACAGGAGGTCCTGGTTCTGCCTGAACAGGTTTCTGTTTGCTAACGATGCCTGGGCTCTTATTCCTGACACCAGACATCAGTCCAGCGGTGGGTGGACGGTGTTAGCCTCACAGCTAGAAGGTTTGAATCCCAACCAGGACTCTGCGGTGTGAGTTAATATTATTACCCTGTAGGCACCACGTGTGCCAAATCCTCCAATCACATCAGCCCGCTTCTCCTCCAACTTCAGGTTTCATTTATTTTTATTTTATTTAACCTTTATTTAACCAGATGAGTGGTAACTCATTCACGTTAATGACGACGATCTGGCCAAGAGGCAGCAGCAACAGACATAGTTAGCTTTACATCAAAGAACCATTCAAACAAACCAGATCAAAATAAGACAAGTAAGTAAATTTTATTTCTATAGCAATCATCACGGACATGGAATCACAAAGTGCTTCACATAGATCAAAACAGAATAAAACAAAGTCATAAAGTCATAACGATCTCAAAACAGAAACAGATTAACATCAGAAAAATTTAACTCGTGTAATTATAACATTTCATAAACAGATAAAAGATTAAAATTTGAGTTAAAAATAAGAAAATAAAATGTTTAGGTAAAAGCAGCTTTAAATAAAAGGGTCTTCAGCTGTTTTTTAAGTGTCCAGACTCAACGCTGCGTAAGGATAAAGGAAGATCATTCCAGAGTCGGGGTGCAACAGTCTGGAAGGATCGATCACCTCGACTTTTATATCTGGTCTCTGGAACTTCTAGAAGGTTCTGGTGTGTGGACCTTAGGGGTTGGAGCATAAGGCTTTAACAGTTCAGTAATATAGGGAGGAGCTTGACCATGTAGAGCCTGAAAGTTCTAGTCAGGACTCTAAAATGAACTCTAAAGTTAACGGGTAACCAGTGCAGAGTCATCAGAACAGGAGTGATGTGTGCTCTTCTGTTTGCTCCAGTTAGGAGCCTCGCTGCAGAGTCCTGGGCCAACTGAAGGCGGTCAAGGGCTTTTTTGTTAAAACATGTGAAGTGTGTTACAGTCATCTAGACGGGAGGAGATAAAGGCATGGAGAACCATTTCTAGGTCATGTTTTGACACCAACCTTCGCAGTTTGGAGATATTTATTAAGTGATTAAAACTGTTTCTGACCAACGTTTTTAAGTGACCTTCAAGAGACGTTGATTGGTCAAAAACACCCAAATTCCTTAAGTTTGTCTTGACGGCAGAGGATAAATGACCAAGTTTTAGACTAATCAGGGGAACCATGCTCTCATGGGCAATGATCAGACATTCAGTCTTTTCAGAGTTTACCTGTTTAACTGAAGTAACTTATCTTCTAGCCAGCTGGTGATCGCTGATAGACACTAGTAATTCAGACAGTTTATAGAACTCAGAATCCTTAAAGAAGCAGTACAGCTGAATATCATCTGCATATAGTTGATAAGAGACAAAATGAAAAGAATCAATTATTATTATTATTATTATGTTTATTCATTTCGCAGACGCTTTTATCCAAAGCGACGTACAATTTTTTTTTACCTATAGGGCATGTTGTGATCTGTGGGGGAAACCGGAGTACCCGGAGGAAACCCACTCATGCAAGGGGAGAACACGCAACTCCACGCAGAAAGGCGGGTTTTGACCCTGTGACCTTCGCGCTGCGAGGCAACAGTGCTAACCACTGCGCCACCATACAGCCCAATTATCTCTTCAAGAGGGTGTATGTACAGTAAGAAACAACAGTGGACCCAAAACAGAGCCTTGGGGTACCCCACAGAACAGATCGGTAGAATCTGACATGATTTGGTTTATACAGGCACTGTAACTTCTGTTAAAGGTCCAATAAAACAGACGTAAAGACATAAATGACTCTTCTCATATATAATGTGTAGAAGCAATCAAAACAGACTTAAAACAGTCTAATTACTCAGAAGCAGGAACATTCATCAGAAACTTTTGATTGTAATGAATTATTGAAGGTATATAATGGAACGTAGGTAGTGAGCTTCAGTGATTTTTGCAGCTCATTCCAGTCGTTGGAAGCAGCAAACTGGAATGAGGAGCGGCCAAAGGAGGTGTGAGCTTTGGGAATGACCATTTAAACTCATTCCCTGCCAATGACGACTAAAGTCGTCATTTGCATGTTTTTACTGTGTGGGCGTCGGAACGAGCCCCCGCGTCGTTAGAACAAACATCTACGCTCTGAAGCCGATCTTCATCCGCATACGTCACACGTCATGTGATCAGGAAGCAGAACATCCATGTGTTAAGAGATCGTTTCGGGCCGCTGCTGTAAAAAAAGTGAGGCACGAACAGGAAAAGCTTCTGCCGATCACAATTCAACAACGGATTATGAAAGAACGGCTAACGCTCGAAACACGCGGATTCTTCGCTTTGTTTTGGTTGTTTTGGCATCAACATCATCCTAGCGCGCAACGTTCTGTCACTCTTCAAAAAACAGTAAAGACGGTGAGAAACGCTGGCAGCAAAGTGCTTTACTGATCAGGAAACGGCTGGCAGCGAATGAGTTAAGATCCTGGTTCTGGGGTCTCATTTACCAAACACTGCATAGAATCATTACTAAAACAGTGTTAAGCTCAGCAAAAAAAAATTTACTTAGGTCAAGTAGGTTTGTGATCTATCAAACATGGAGTACACACAGCTTCACGTAGTCTCCGCTTTATAAATCACAAACGTCCTTGAAAGGTTCTCAGGTGTTTTTGGATCACATCCCGCCCTCAATACGCCCAATTTCTGCCATAAATGGTCAATGCAAAGTGCCTTGTGGATCTCATGCATATACATAAGCCGACTCGTTGCGGCGCTGCACAAAGCATTACAAGTGATAATGCTGCAGGATTTCATAATGTTATCCTTCTCAGCAGCAGCACTGCAGGTGCTCTCCATGTCCAACATGTGCATAAGCCAGGTCCTTAGTCAACTTAAAGTTGTGCACATTTTTACGCTACGTTTTCTTTTATAAATCCCAAAGTTTGCGTGGAAAGTTGCTTACGCAGTTTTCTGACCCCGTTTTGTACGTAAGCAAGCTTGATGAACGAGGCCCCTGGTCTTTAGGGCCTTACATGGACAAGCACCATCTTACATTGGTGATCTTCTTAGTCCCTACACCCCCAGCAGGTCCCTGAGATCCAGTGACCAAATCCTACTGGTTGTGCAGCACCAGGCTAAAGGTCAAAGGTGACAGATCATCTGCTGCTGTGGCCCCCAGACTCTGGACCTCTCTCCCCCTGAGCCTGAGATCAGTGGACTCAGTGGTCTCCTTTAAACTCACCTGTTCAGGCTTTGGTGGGACCTTCATCACCTCCTCGTGATTTTCATCTTGAGAGGTGCTAAATAACAGATTTCTTTCTTTCTTTCTTTCTTTCTTTCTTTCTTTCTTTCTTTCTGGCACCTGGGGGAGTTTAGCCTTGCCTTCAGCATTGCTCCTTTATTTGTTTATATTAAAAAAACTAATTAGAGAAACATCTCAGTCAGTTATTTGAAATGTTATGTCAAAATTGTCAAAATGGGCTGCATGGTGGCGCAGTGGTTAGCACTGTTGCCTCGCAACACGAAGTTCGCAGGTTCGAAACTCGGCTGCGGCCTTTCTGCGTGGAGTTGCGTGTTCTCCCCATGCATGCGTGGGTTTTCTCCAGGTACTCCGGTTTCCCCCACAGATCACAACATGCCCTATAGGTAAAAAAAAAAAATTGTAAGTCGCTTTGGGTAAAAGTGTCTGCTAAGCACATAAACATAAACATAAAATTAATTTTAGAATTTAATCTTTATTTTAATTCACCTGCTGCTGTCTTCACAAAAGACTTTTTAAATGGTGAGCAGCAGAAACATCTTAGGTGTGTTCTTGCTGTGCGTTATTTCTAATTCCATGTTGTCGTTCCTTTTTTAAAGCACAGAAACGGTTTTGTTACCTGTTGTTGACGCTACGTTTCGCCGACAGCTGCCGGCTTCTTCAGGCTGACACTGATGGTGGCGCGTCTGCTGCCCGCAGATAAACGGAGAAGGAAGTGACGCGCCACCATCAGTGTCAGCCTGAAGAAGCCGGCAGCTGTCGGCGAAACGTAGCGTCAACAACAGGTAACAAAACCGTTTCTGTGCTTTAAAAAAAGAACAACAACATGGAAGCAGAAACATGTATACATTTAAAAAAAATCTGGTTGTTTCTTTACTCATTACATTAGATTTTTGCATTGGGTGTTACATTTATCAAATCAAATCAAATCAACTTTATTTATAGAGCGCTTTCACATGGCCAGAATAGACAAACAAAGCGCTGTACATCAATAAAATGCCACACAATAGGACAGAGATATGACCATTAAAATACATTAAAAAATCCATTAAAATACACAAAAAAATCCCTGTAAAATACCGTAATAAATCCTATAAAAATACAATAAGAAATCCATTTTAAAATACAGTACAAAAACCTGAGTGCCAGTTCACAGTCCATATCCGGCCTACTTCCCCCAACTTCAACGTCCAAAAGCCAGCGAGAACAGATGTGTTTTCAGTCTTCCTTTAAAGGTTTCTAATGACTTGGCCTGTTTTACATCGGCTGGCAGCTCATTCCAGAGACTTGGTCCAAGTACTGAAAAAGCTCGACTACCACGAGACTTCAGGCTGTACCTAGGCACAGTTAGTAATCTCTGGTCAGCTGACCTAAGGGAACGCACCGGGACATGCTGGTGGATGACATCGGAAAGATATTTAGGAGCCCCTGTGTTTAACGCCTTGAACACAAACATGAGGACCTTAAACCTGATGCGAAAAAAACAGGGAGCCAATGCAAGGCACGTAGGACTGGTGTTATATGTTCAGACCTCCTGGTAGATGTTAACAACCGGGCTGCAGAGTTCTGAACCGCCTGGAGGCGTGCTACTGGAGCTTGTCTAAGCCCCGCATATAGCGAATTACAGTAATCCAGCCTGCAGGTAATAAAGGCATGGATTACAGTTTCCAAATGATTATGGGACAGAAATGGCTTAATTTTCGCAATGCGGCGTAGATGAAAAAAGCAAGATCTCACAACACTGTTCACCTGAGCATCAAATCTGAGATCTGCGTCCAGTTTTACCCCTAAGTTAGAGACCACCGCCTTCTGATGCGGTGCCAGAGTGGCAAAATCAAGCCCTTGGGCACCTCCTGGGGTCTTTGGTGGCGTGAACAGAATAACTTCAGTCTTGTGTTCGTTGAAACACAAGAAGTTCTGAGCCAGCCATTGCTTGATGTCCTCAAGGCAGTCCAACAGAGGTTGAATGGTGCATAAACCACCACGCTTAATTGGAAAAATGACCTGGCAATCATCAGCATAGAGATGGAATGACACATTGTGTTTACGAAATAGTTCACCCAGGGGTATGAGATATAAGGAGAAAAATAGTGGGGCCAAAATCGATCCCTGGGGAACTCCCCATGGCAGCTCAGCCAGATTGGAGGAACAGTCCCCCAACCTCACACAAAAACTCCTCCCAGTCAGGTACGATCGTATCCACTGAAGTGCCTGGCCCGTAATGCCAACAGACCGCTCCAGCCGTTTTACCAGGATGTTATGATCAACGGTATCAAAGGCTGATGACAGGTCCAAGAGCACCAGAACCACAGCATCACCAGAATCATTTGCCAATAAAATGTCATCAAGGACCTTAAGCAGCGCCGATTCAGTGCTATGAAAGGGTTTAAACCCAGATTGAAATACTTCTCCAATTTCCCGTTCCTGAAGAAAAGATGTCAGTTGGTTAAACACAGCCCTCTCTATGATCTTTGAGATGAAAGGAAGTGTAGATACAGGTCTGTAATTGGACAAGATTGTGGGGTCCAATCCTGATTTCTTAAGCAGAGGTCGTACCACCGCCTGTTTTAGGGGACAAGGGACTTCCCCAGAAATCAAGCTGGTATTTACAATTTGCAGTACATGGTTACCCACTACAGAAAAAACTTCTGTCAGTAGCCTTGCCGGGAGAACATCAGTTACCGCCCCTGTCGGCTTAAGTCTCATGACCAGATCCTCAAGTTCTGCAAGAGTTAATGGTTGAAAACCCTCCAGTGCCTTAGGAACACATAGATCTGCATAGGGGGCGTGCTTAAGTGGTGGAATAGAGGCCCTTGTCACCCTTACCTTGTCTACAAAGAAGTCTAAAAAGTTGTTACATGACTCAGTGGAGTACTCAATCGCAAGGGGCTCATTGACATTTAAAATAGAGTCCACTGTCTTAAAAAGTATCCTAGCATTCTGAGAATTTAAGGAGATTATGTTTGCAAAGTACTTTCTATGTCTTAAATAAGATGATTTTATGGATTGAGTGAACATTAATATGATTTATTAACACTAGTCTTCCCTGGGGGGGGGGGGGCAGCAATTTTTTTAGGGGTGGCCATGGCACCCTCTGGCCACCCCTTGGGTCGCCACTGATCCTGTGGGCCCACAGGTATGAAAGTAGAAGTTTCCTGTGGGCCTCTAGGTGGCGCTGGCATCACTAGACTGATGAGGTCCTGCTGCTGAAGGGGGTTCTGCTGGACTCTGTCTCTGCTTTGATACGTTCTCACCCACTGGTGCAGATCATTTTGTTGTGAGACTTCGCAGCCAAGAGTATTTGGTACTTCAGCTGCGTTATGACCTCATGATGAGTCACCAGCTCTGCTCTGCTCTGCTCACAGGGATGGATAACGCTCATACTAAAACTGTGGAGGAGGTCTTGGGCTTCTTCGGTGTGAACGAGTCTACGGGCCTGAGCTGTGAGCAGGTGAAGAGGAGCAGGGAGCGATGGGGACCCAACGGTAACAGGATTCATTCACGTCATAATGCAGCGCTTTGTTCTGTCACACGTCTGCTGGAGAGTTCCCGACCCGGTGACCCATCTTCTCCATAAGCAGCAACTTTTGTAAAGCTGTAATGAAACTAGGGCTGCAACAACGAATCGATAAATTCGATGAAAATCGATTACTAAAAGCGTTGGCAACGAATTGCGTCATCGATTCGTTGTGTCGCACAACTCTTCCAAAAGCGCCCCCCCTTCCCGCCCGCCGTTGCGCGCAGACCAGAGCAAGTCAGATCAGCGCGATATGGCAAGCCAAACCCGTCACAATACGCCACTTTCCCAACCCGTCTTGTTAAGAAATGGCGAAAAAAACGCCGTTTGATGTGCCAAGACGTCGTAAAATACGGCGAAAACTCTGCCAGAACGCCGTAATTTACGCCGTTCTGAACGGTCCCGTAGAACGCCCGTAAAATACGCCGTTTTTTCCGGACATTGAACGCCGTTTTTTACGTCACCCTAATCCCAGACGCGTTCTCTGTGTGGGTGGCGTAAAATACGGCGTTTGGTACGGACATTGAACGCCGCTTTTTTCGCCGTCCTGTGACATAAAACGCCGCTTTTAACGCCACTTTGTGACAGTTTTAACGCGTTTAAAATTCAACTTTACTCTCATTTATGCAGAGCCCTCCCCATGGGTTTCTCATCCACTTAATTTAAACTTCAGTGACCCAATGAAAGACGAGGAGGTTGAGGCAGCACTAATTCATCCCAGATTCGCCGGGCTGTCGGGCTGTGCGGATTGCTGTTTTCTAATACAACTCGGCTCTGTTTCAACTAATTTCACTGTATTGAAAAAGCCTTGAAATGTAGTAATATTATCAACAATGTGTCAACATTATTATTTTTTCTGTCCACCTGTAAAAGGCAGAAACGCTGTTTCAGTCAGACCTGATGATTACTTAAAAGTGTGGCTGCCGTATCAGTCTGTCCTCGTGGCTCGTGAGTCCAGCTGAAACATCAGTGCTCTTTCTGTCCAAAACTCCATTCTTCTTAAGTTCATCTACTTTCAGTATTTACTATTGTGTGTGTGTGTGTGTGTGTGTGTGTGTGTGTGTGTGTGTGTGTGTGTGTGTGTGTGTGTGTGTGTGTGTCGCAACGTCCCGATTGATGATGTGCCCTGGCTACTTAGCCAAGGAAGTGTTCCTTTGGCTGACTGTTAGAGCGTATGACTCTTACCCGGGAGTCTGGGGATCGAATCCCGCCCGAGCCCTCGTTTATCCACCTGGCCACACTATTGTTTTTTTTTTTTTTTTTAACGACTGTTATACTTGTCTTACAGGAGCTTCTGAAGATGTTCTGTCTTGCTTCTCCATCATCACTCTCCAGCTCCTCAGACCAGCCACTCCAGAACCTTCCCAGATCCAGGATCAGAGCACTTTAATTAAAGTTTGAAACATGTCTGCTTGTTGTTCTCCTATAGAAGCCTTAAACTAGAATTTGCTAATGAGCTTTCTTGGCTAAAATATGCTCTTAAATGTTTTTATTTACATAATCAAGAAACACGTTTTTCATTGCTGCTTCACCAAGACATGACTGAAAATGTCCTCATGATCCTGAAACGCTGGTTAAAACAAATTACTTTTAACCTCTTATAAAACAAACGTGTCTGTTGATGATTATGAACACTACAATACTGAAGCACCTGCATACTTGCTACCGATTTGCTAACTTTCTGTAATATTTGATATTTAAGTTGAAAACATGAAATGCTGTAACACAAATTCCAAATGTTCTAGTTGAGCACTTGTTTCTAGTCAACTAATCATTATTTCTGTGATTAGTCAGCTTTTTCCTTTTCAATAAACACATGGAAAAATTACAATTATCTTACTGAAAAATAGTTTAACAGTGTTGCACATGTATAATAATCTGCACTGGTTTTCACAGTTATGGCATTCTTCAAGTGAAAAGATATTTACAATTGATTACTTCAAGTTCCTACTATTTACATTTTATGCATCGATACTGTAAATGGCTGTTTACTAAGGCATACAGAGTCAGTGCCTGTACAGGTAGTTTGCTTGTAAATCTACATATTTCTGTTCTATATGATCCTGTATTCTTCATTAATGCTACTTACAAATCCACGAGTCTGTAGAATTGCCTTGTTTATTTGAGCAGGTATTGAACAATCCTTTTAGTTATTAACAAGTTGAGTGTGTGTTTAAGAGGAGTTTAAAAGTGTTAGCCTTAGAAAGTAGATGAGCCTCTCCCACAAACCACATTTTTTAAATTTAGGACTTTACGGAGTGTGCTGAAAGACAAAATGAGGCTGATCATCTCCATTTTTACAGGAGGCAACCCCCTGCTTACTAGGCAAGAACCCGTATGAGAACATTCCATGTGCAGCTAAAGATCTGTAAACTAAATAATGTCTGGAAACCACCAGGGACCAGGCCCAAAAGCATCACTTCAAAGACCTGACAGTCTGATCTAAGGTGCAAACACGAGAAACCTTTTTAACATCCAGAGATTCTTATAGAAGGAACAACTCCAGCTGATATGTTGCATTCATTCGATGTCTTCCTAAATCTATATCTAATTATAAATTTGTAAATATTTTTCATAAATTGTAGTGCTCAAAACCTAAAGAGACAGTTGCTTCAGTCGATCTGTTCTGCTTCTGCAGCCAGACACTAAGCCAATCCAATAAAAGTACAGGCACTGACTTTGTATGCCTTAGTAAACAGCCATTTACAGTATTGATGCATAAAATGTAAATAGTAGGAACTTGAAGTAATCAATTGTAAATATCTTTTCACTTTATTTTATTATTATAGTTTGAAGAATGCCGTAACTGTGAAAACCAGTGCAGATTATTATACATGTGCAACACTGTTAAACAATTTTTCAGTAAGATAATTGTAATTTTTCCATGTGTTTATTGAAAAGGAAAAAGCTGACTAATCACAGAAATAATGATTAGTTGATTAGAAACAAGTGCTCAACTAGAACATTTGGAATTTGTGTTACAGCAGTTCATGTTTTCAACTTAAATATCAAATATTACAGAAAGTTAGCAAATCGGTAGCAAGTATGCAGGTGCTTCAGTATTGTAGTGTTCATAATCATCAACAGACACGTTTGTTTTATAAGAGGTTAAAAGTAATTTGTTTTAACCAGCGTTTCAGGATCATGAGGACATTTTCAGTCATGTCTTGGTGAAGCAGCAATGAAAAACGTGTTTCTTGATTATGTAAATAAAAACATTTAAGAGCATATTTTAGCCAAGAAAGCTCATTAGCAAATTCTAGTTTAAGGCTTCTATAGGAGAACAACAAGCAGACATGTTTCAAACTTTAATTAAAGTGCTCTGATCCTGGATCTGGGAAGGTTCTGGAGTGGCTGGTCTGAGGAGCTGGAGAGTGATGATGGAGAAGCAAGACAGAACATCTTCAGAAGCTCCTGTAAGACAAGTATAACAGTCGTTAAAAAAAAAAAAAAAAACAATAGTGTGGCCAGGTGGATAAACGAGGGCTCGGGCGGGATTCGATCCCCAGACTCCCGGGTAAGAGTCATACGCTCTAACAGTCAGCCAAAGGAACACTTCCTTGGCTAAGTAGCCAGGGCACATCATCAATCGGGACGTTGCGACACACACACACACACACACACACACACACACACACACACACAATAGTAAATACTGAAAGTAGATGAACTTAAGAAGAATGGAGTTTTGGACAGAAAGAGCACTGATGTTTCAGCTGGACTCACGAGCCACGAGGACAGACTGATACGGCAGCCACACTTTTAAGTAATCATCAGGTCTGACTGAAACAGCGTTTCTGCCTTTTACAGGTGGACAGAAAAAATAATAATGTTGACACATTGTTGATAATATTACTACATTTCAAGGCTTTTTCAATACAGTGAAATTAGTTGAAACAGAGCCGAGTTGTATTAGAAAACAGCAATCCGCACAGCCCGACAGCCCGGCGAATCTGGGATGAATTAGTGCTGCCTCAACCTCCTCGTCTTTCATTGGGTCACTGGAGTTTAAATTAAGTGGATGAGAAACCCATGGGGAGGGCTCTGCATAAATGAGAGTAAAGTTGAATTTTAAACGCGTTAAAACTGTCACAAAGTGGCGTTAAAAGCGGCGTTTTATGTCCGTACCAAACGCCGTATTTTACGCCACCCACACAGAGAACGCGTCTGGGATTAGGGTGACGTAAAAAACGGCGTTCAATGTCCGGAAAAAACGGCGTATTAAACGGGCGTTCTACGGGACCGTTCAGAACGGCGTAAATTACGGCGTTCTGGCAGAGTTTTCGCCGTATTTTACGACGTCTTGGCACATCAAACGGCGTTTTTTTCGCCATTTCTTAACAAGACGGGTTGGGAAAGTGGCGTATTGTGACGGTTTTGGCTTGCCATAATGTCACCTCACGCAGCATCGAAAACGCGCTCTGCGCTTTTCGGTCAGGAGATCTCTTTGATCTGCTCAAAAGTAACTGATGAGGTGAAAAGGTAAGAATCCAGGCAACAGATTTTCTGGAGAATTATGAGGAGATGCAGGAAGATGAGAGACAGACAGGACAGGAAAATAGTTCAATAAAAACAAGAAAACAAAACAAAGTGTTGAAAAGTAAAATGTAGGTAGATTTATCTCCACTACACGTTTTTACCAGTAAAAAACATTAAGTTATACACATGTCATATTTATACATCTGATACAATTCAGATCACCTTCAAAACTCAGTCACACACCCAGGGCCGTTTCAAGACATTTTGGGGGCCAAGGCAAAATGCCCCCCCCCCCCCCCCCCCCCCCCAATAACTGGGCTCCCCAGAAGCCTCTGTGTAATTGATGCCCTCTCCAGTAGTGTTAGTTATATGGTGTTTATAAAAGCCCCTCAGACATTACTGACATGTTCTAATATTATCAGATGAAAAACTAAATTATCAGACACGCTGTCTCATCTGCTTATTTTATAAACTTGCAAAAAGTAACAAAACCATTTGAAAGCCACTATTTGTGGATTCTCTGAAAGTTTCCATGGAGTGTGTGACAACTTATTTTTTCATTGATCCTATCGTCTAATCTCACAGCTGAAACAAGCATCCTTAATAATCTGTGCACAGGAAGCTTACCGATGCTGTAGTAAAACAAAAGGTATAATAATTTATTATTAATAAAACCTTGTTGCAGCACTAAAGCAGAAAAATTAGATTTTGCATTAAATATGCAAAATATTTACATATGAATTGTTTTAGAGCCCTTTAATTGGCAGAATCTGATATTAATTTAGTTCTTACAAAAAATGGGTCCCAACATGGTTTGTGTGGCGTTGCCATAGTGTGACGTCATAGGCACAGATCCCCTGTCCTCTTGTTTGGAAATGGAAATATGGTCACCCTACATTAAACAAACTGTCCACCCGGGCTTTTGCACTGCACAGACGCTTCGCTGCCTACGACTGAACGTCAGTTGAGAGTCAGTCTCATGCAGACTGACCAATGAAGAGAGGGCCTCAAGTTAAGACCCTCTCCTCATTGGTCAGTCCACACGAGGTGGGTCAAAGGTTACTCTGGGCGGGTTACGTGATGTCAGGCATTCAAGTATTGAGTATATTTACTGCATATTACAGTAAAATATTCTGTATGTGACCACATTATGGTGATCCTTGGGTCGTGATGATGGAGCCCTTGAATATTGTTGCCCAGGGTACAACAAAGTGTTAATCTGGCCCTGGTTCCGCCGTCACATTCCCGCAGGAACTGGTTGATCACACCGGGGCCAGACTACTAGCATGTGGTTTTACAACCACAATGTCCTCAGAAGCGAAAACGCTTTTAAAAGGGAGGGAGGAGTCCTAACTGTTGCTGCAGGCGTGTTGTGTGAGAGTGCAGTTATATACTGGTTAATATATTTTTGGGTTCAGTTGCTTTCATGTGGCCTAATGTGAGTCTATTTGGGATCATTGGAATGATCAGCAGCATTTCTTGATGTGACTTTATGGCAGTTGCCCAGGGCATCATCGCAAGGAGGATGGCATTCATTTACTTTTGTTTTATTTGGTATTTTTTCAGTCATTTTTGGAAATAGTGATCAATTTTGATAAATTCACAGCCTATGTTTAATTACATTTAAAATAAATGTCAACAGATGAGATCAAACAAAACAGATGAGAATTGCCCTTAAGCTGTTTAACTTGGACCAAGCATTTTAGGTCACAGATAGATGTAGCTTAGGGTCTCTGTCTATACACCTTATAAGACAATTTAGGTGATGGCATGTTGTTTTTCTGCTATTGAACTGTTTTCTAATAATGTTGTGTTAAATAAAGTGAAGGAAGGAGAGAAATAACGTTTCCCTAGCAGTTTTTAAAAATTTCCCCATGTAATCCGATTAATCGATTAATCGTGTCGAGACCCCATCCGATTAATCGATTATCCAAATAATCGTTTGTTGCAGCCCTAAATGAAACCATGACATGTTTGGAGAAGCATCTAAACACACCGCTGGAGTCTGAAGCATTTACATTCTAGCATGCTGTTTGATCTGGACTGATATTTCATCTTTCTCTTCACCTGCAGAGTTACCAGCAGAGGAAGGTGAGCTCACGCTCCTGCTTTGAGTCCGACCCGAGCCAGGTGTGGAGCTCTTGAGTTACTGTGTGTTTAATCTGCAGGGAAGTCCCTCTGGGAGCTGGTCCTGGAACAGTTTGAAGATCTGCTGGTCCGGATTTTGCTGCTGGCTGCATGTATCTCCTTTGTAAGAAAACACAAACAAATGATGAGCAGATGTTTTAGCCCAGAAGTCAGACATGAAGTCTGCCGGTGAAGTAAATCATCCACCTGGATGTGAGCGTGTTTAGTATGATCATGAAGCAGGACCTGCTTTTCTCCTCGGGTCTTCTCCCTGCTGCAGACCCTGGCTTGGTTTGAAGAAGGCGAGGGGACCATCACGGCTTTTGTGGAACCCTTCGTCATCCTCCTCATCCTGATAGCCAACGCTATCGTGGGAGTTTGGCAGGTAACCAGTTTAATGCAAAGCCTGATAGGCAGCCGGTTCTCCTCTGAAAACCTCGCATGTTTCTGTCTGTTAGGAACGAAATGCAGAGAACGCAATCGAAGCTTTAAAGGAATACGAGCCTGAAATGGGGAAAGTGTACCGACAGGACAAGAAAAGTGTCCAGCGCATCCGAGCCAGAGACATTGTCCCTGGGGACATAGTTGAAGTGGCTGGTAAGTGGAACAGCCTCGGCTGTTTTTGTTAGGGGTCAGTGGGCAGGAGGCTCCTCTCAGGCGATAAACTACAGCTCAGCCTCCGCAGGACGCCTCGATCCGACACGCACACGAGGGCTTGTGGCCGGTGGGCGTTTTCATTCCTTCCTCCTGTGGCTTCTCAGGACATCTGAGCGAAGGCTAGGTTCATGCCTCTGCTGTCACACACAGAGTGGCCTTTGAAACACGGGACATGAATAATACTGGTGTCTGGAACAATCTCTGGAAAGTAATGTCCCATGAGAACATCCAGGTGGCATAAAACCCCAAAGCTTCAGGTTGTTGACTGACTTGCATTGAGAGTGAAGCACCAGAACACGCGTTTCCCACACATGGTTGAAATAACATGGTGGAGTCTTTGTTCAGCCTTTCCTATTTACAAACTCCTGGGGATGCAACAAGTGGGCGCGGTGCGTCGACTACCGGATCTGACATCGACAAATTTTTAGAATCGAGCCGTCGACGTCATCGAGGCGTTGCTACAGCCCTAGTGACTAGAAGAAAAAATGTCCAAGAAAAGGCAAAACTTACATATTATAGTCAACAGAGCTACAGCTATGTATTATAGGTTATACCATAACATACCATTTTATTTATAAAGCGTATTCAACAAGGCATTACAACCAAACAAGGCGCTGTACACTAAAAATGTTAGTTAATTAAACCGGCGTCAGACCGTCATGCAGAACAGCGATAAAAGATAAACAGGAAAAACAACAAAATTCCTAGAACTAACAGTTAAAAATCAATAAAACACAGAGAATATAAAAAATAAGAATCAGAACACTGTTATCAGAACAGCTATATCATATATGTTTATGTTTATGTTTATTTATTAGGCAGACGCTTTTATCCAAAGCAAATTACAATCTATAACCTATAGGGCATGCTGTGATCTGTGGGGGAAACCGGAGTAACCGGAGGAAACCCACGCATGCACGGGGAGAACACGCAACTCCACGCAGAAAGGCCGCAGCCGAGTTTCAAACCTGCGACCTTCGTGCTGCGAGGCAACAGTGCTAACCACTGCGCCACCATGCAGCCCAGGTCAGATCTGTCAGACTAAAATCTCGTTTAGAGCGGTCACTTTTACTTCTGCTGAAACTCAATTTTTAGAGATCAACATGTCTCAAAGAAAGCCTCCAGGCGAATCTCGTAGACTTTATTTTTCAGAAAGAGGAAATGATCGGCTCTCTTGATCGGAACAACGTGCTAAAATTAGAATGTTTTTCCAAAAATCAGACCACCAGTTTCAAGCAGAAAAAAAATCTCTGAATCAATCATTGTTTTCAACAGAGACCGATCCAAGCGCGGGCGCAGACATGACATGTCTTTGGACGGTAGAAATGATCAACCGTGTGTGTGCGGACAGCCAAGCACCTCGGGTACCAGTAGGGTAATACATCGTTTATTTTCATCCAACACATTCTCACTCCCAGCGCGTCAAAAACAAACGCTTGATAACCCATCGCGTCAGTTTCACGCTGCATTTGGGATCCACAGTCAGAAAAGGGAAAAAACCCTTTTCGCACATAAGTGACGACGCGGAGGGTGGCTGACCAAGCGTTTGTTTTTGACGCGCTGGGAGTGAGAGCAGAGATCTTGCTCTACCTCAGAAGAACCAACTGCATACCAAGAGAAAGAACAAGCATCATTTGCCAACTTAGATCAGGTTCAGTACAAACGAAATCTTTTCTGTGATGGAACAGCCGTAACATCTGAGAACTTGGATTCAACCGAGCAGCCGGAAGGTATTGAATAGAGGTGCTGAAAAAAATTGATTCAAGTCTGAATCGGGATTCTTATTTATAAAGGTTCAGAATCGATTCACAAAGGTTCAGAATCGATTCCAGGAACTCAAATGTTTGGCACGTTACAGGTTTGAGACGCACTTTTGTATGTTTTTTTTTTTTTTGGTCTTTGTTAGGAGATTTAGTACTCCGTTTACTTTTGTGGTCCCATAAATTGGGATGATTTATTTTTGAATTGATAAGTTGGGACTAGAATGTAATTTTTTTTCCAGACTCAGAAATTTGAAATATTCTCATATTTATTTTCTAAGTTGATAAGTGAGTACTCGGGATTACTCGTGTTTATTTGAAGTTATTGATAAATGAGAGAAAACATTTTCCTTTGTAAGAAATCTGAGGCACTTTTTTTAAACAGGTTGAGGACTCAAATGTTAAACTTGTTTCTACACATACTTAAAAAGTATTTGACTGTATTACTTTCAAAGCTACTGTTAGATAACTACAGATTTGTTATATTTTACAAGGTAAGCAAAAATAAATGTTGCCTTTTGGTCAAAAGATTGTTTCTGTTTACAGTTTTAGAATCACTTTAGTTTACAGTGTAAATTAGCTTCTTTTTTTTAGCATGACCAGTTTAAAGTCAAATAAAAATTTTCCAATAGCTTTAACTAACTTGCACAACAAAGTAGTTAATCCTGGAACGGACACTCTTTGTTAATATTGATTGTGAATCTATTTAAATCGAGAATCGATAATGAATCGAATCGGCACCCCGAGAATCGGAATCGAATCAAATCGTGAGTTGCTCTGAGATTCACATCCCTGAATCTCTCACTGATTCTCAAGAGACAGAGCCTGCTTCTACTGACGAGGGAAGTCGGTGGGGCTCCTATGCAAAACACCTACTCAATATGGCTGCGGGTGTTGGCTTTTGTGCTTTGGGTCAACTATTTGACGTATAGATGCACTTCAGACACCAACAACTTTATGTTTGAGTCACTCTTAACCTTCCAACAAAGAGCACCAGGTCCCTTCTAAATAAGTCCTGCACAGACATCCACAATGACTGAACAGGGCTCAGGAAATACTTAGTTCCCTATTTTTAGTAAATCCCACCCCTTCTTCAGCAAAAATCTGAATTAATTTTAATCTGAAAAGCACTTAATACAGGGCTGCACCCTTCCAGTTGAGAGTCACAAATGTTGCCCTCCTGCAAAACTGCAATAATAATAATAATAATAATAATAATAATAAATCATATGGAATGTGCTGCCTTTGAGCATTAGGTCGGCCTCTTCACCATGGACGTAATTTTGGGGGGGGGGACAGGGGGGACATGTCCCCCCTACTTTTTCCAAAGTCAAGTGTTGACCCCTGCACTTTTTACCATCCAAAAACAATTACGCTATATTAAATTGACACTGGTTGAGCTCTAGGACCAAGCAGAAAACAACCGTTTGTGTTGAAGCCTGTTTCCCATTAGAGCATACTGTAAAGACCCCCCCACCCCGCCCCACCCCCGTGCGCCCCCCCTAACCCAAGAGACACGAGACGCCCTGGGCAGGTGACTAACTCACCCACACCTAGGGATAATTCAAATACACTAATAAACCTAACCTGCTATGTTTTTGGTGTTTGTGGGGGGAACTGGAGCACCCAGAGAAAACCCACGCATGCATGGGGACAACGTGTTAACCACGCGCTGTGATTAAGCGTGTCCCCATGCAGCCCCGTTTTTGGTTCTAATTTGGTAAAAATAATATAACTAAAACAAGTTCTACATACGTATATACTAAACTACCAGGTTCTAGACAAGTAACGCTTGAAGGAGTTGTACTTCTCGGTGAAGAAGTTCTTAATCGTCACAAGGCTTGAATGTCTTTTGACACCAGTGTGTTTTGCTCCAAACTGTTGTTCGAGCAACTTTTTTAATTCTTTTGACCTTGGACGTTTGGGGATTTTAATTTTATCATGTGGAGGGATGTTTCCTGGTTGGAAATTTTTCATTATTTCACAAACGTTTCTCACATAATCTTCATCTGAAGCGCCGTCGAGATGCTCCATCGTGATAAAAGGGTGTTTAAGAGCATCAGCTGGGAGAATCCGCTTTGCTGGATCCACCGCTAACAGTTTTTTCACGAGATCAAGAAAAGCTTTAACATCTTTCTTTTCAGTTGAATTTTTGGTGTCATCGAAAAACAAGTCCTCCAGGGATGTTATACACTCATAGGTCATGTCCCTAGACTTCCCTCCTTTCTTCTTAAATCTCCAAGAATGTTCAGTGCCTTTCTTAACTTTTGTGAAATATTTTGAGACTAGACTCCCCTTGTCTAGTAGTTCTTTGTCAGGTTGACCAAGGAGCTTCATAATTATGCTCAGATTATTGTAGCTGCTGCTATAAGGGAACGGAAGATGTTTAAGAAACAGAGCAGACAAGAGACAGCCAAGACTCCAAGTGTCTATCGCTTCATCTCGTGGTAGACCAAGAGTTACCTCTGGAGCTCTGTATGCCAAATTCTGAATGATACCCTTCTGTGGTAAACGTTCAGTCTCAAAAGCCAACCCAAAGTCAATCAGCTTCACTCTGAATGGTTGTGCTTCATGATTTACAAGCATGATATTATCAAGTTTCACATCTCCATGAGTAATACCAAGCTGTTTTAAAACACTAAGAGCTTCTAAGATCTGCTGGGCAATTGGTCGGATTTCAGCCAGATTTAAACAACAACCTTCATTCTCCAAAAACTCACTCAAATTTGTATCCAAAAGCTCTAATTCCTGATATAAAAAGCCTTGAAAGGCAAAACTGCCATTCATTCGGATAAAATAGCTATCGCATTGTGTGAGCTCGTTCAGACTTTCTAATATTTTCGTCTCATTGAAAAAAAAGCCGTAATCGCTTTCACGTGTCATTTTCAACGCTACGACCTCATTTGTTTCCTGTACACGGCACCTGGCCACCGCTCCGTATGTCCCAGATCCAAGTACTTTTTCTATAATATAAACCTTTGAAAGGCCTTCAATCTTCATACCTGGGATTAGTAATAAAGATAAGTCTTCTGAGTCAGTTGAGTTTGTCTCATCTGTGTCTGAGGACGATGTTTCCCAATCTATAGATTGGTCCGGTAAAAGATGATCCATATGCAGTTCCTCTGTGTTTACTGTGCTGGTTTTCTCTAATAACTGTTTGCTACACACTGGCTCTTCATC